GTCAAATCCAAGTTTCGGCTGCCGATTGTATAATGAGACACGCTAAGCTGTTACACAAGCGACCCGTAACAGATTATGAAACGGTGACCGGTGGTCCTTCGGCTTCTATAAGAATTTTGGATTTCGGTTGGCGATCCTTGAGCTACATCCAGTCGGACGAATGAAAAATTAATTGGAATTTTAACTGATTCTGGCGAGTCTACACTTTAGATTCAATTACGAGAAAGTGAGCAAATTGTGATTATAGGACCGTCAAGCTTATCAGTTCGAAAATGAGTAATTGGTTATTATTCAATGATAAGCGATTGGTTGTGGCTATTAATGAGTCATCGAATATCGGCGAGCTTGTGTGCACTGTAATTAGGTATCATCGGCTCTTGTCTGATGCATTATAATACCGACATCTATTTTTTTCACCGTCAAGAGACATGGCTATTGCGATAACCTGGGGATTCTTTGCTTCACGATCTACTTTGTGTATTCAAGTATCGTGAATTTTTCTATCAATGGACCAACGATTATCTAACTTAAAAATGTTCAATGGTAGAGTTTCGATTTGCAAATCACTCGATATCCTCGAAATTCGAGTAAGACGTCGAAGACCACTTTCTTCATATTCTACTTTAGGGATCAAATGCAAACATCGACGTCTTCTATTGGCCAAACTATCTAGCAACTTTCTAGCAACTTTATAAATGCTCAGCATTGAACAGCTGACTTAAAAATCACTCGTAACTTGTATTCGACAGCTTCAAAGTCTAAGTAAAATGTCAAAGATCGCACTCTTCAGATTCCACTTCCCGCATAAAATGCATACCCGGACGTCACTGATTGGACAAATAATTCAGCAACCACCTAACGACCGCAAGACATTTCCACGTTGAAAATTTTATTAAAAAATCACTAGTATCTTGCATTCAACGTCTTCAAAGTCTAACTAGAACGTTGAATTCCACTCTCTTCAGGTTCTACTTCAGGCATAAATTAGATAAAATCCACCAATTAGAGATAAATGATGCAACGATCTAGTGACAACTTCAGAAAAATTCAACGTTAATTGGATTCAAAAGTCACTCGTACCTCGTGTTGAACCGCTCCAAAGTCGCGACAATGATGACCGAGGATTGCTTTCCTCAGGTTCTACCTTGCGGACCAGCCTCTGCACCGCATCAGACGACACACGCGTGCGGAACAAACCAGCAAGAACAAGTGCATCTTGCCGGGCGGCGAGACCAACACTAACGAGATGAGTTTCTCCGCCTCCCGATGCCTCGAATCAGCCTCGAAGGTCGTCCGTTTTTTTTTTTTACGAAAGATCTTACGCATGGCGAAGACCAAATAAATTTACGAAATATTGGTTTCCCGACACAGCTGCCCCCAAGGATCTCGTTTATGGCCTCTGAATCACCGTCCGCTGGAAAATCCATAGGACGACGTCGATCCCTTTCTTGGCTTTATGACAGATTTACGTGGAAAATTGGGCAATCATTATGGAACACAAAAGTAGAACAAGGTGCTATCTTGGTGTTTGCTGCGTGTCAACTCCTTCATCCGTTAGTTCGTTTTTTTAGTGAAACTTGTTGCACAGATATTTTTTTGCAGACATTTTATGATGATGGATCTTATGCATTCGCGACATAAATAAATAAAAGGGATATGGAATAATAGAAAGCAGGAATCTTGACTGTTGTAATCAATATGAAAAAAAATCGTTGCATAACAATTATTATTGCGATTCAATGCTTTCAGTTATAAGTGATAGTTATTAAATAATATTTCGTTTTTTGGTGAAACTAGTTGCACAGATGTCTATTTTTGCAGACATTTTATGATGATAGATGGATCTTATGCATTCTCGACATAAATAAATAAAAGGGATATGGAATAATAGAAAGCAGGAATCTTGACTGTCGTAATCAATATGAAAAAAAGTCGTTGCATAGCAATTATTATTGCGATTCAATGCTCTCAGTTATAAGTAATAGTTATACGCAGGGGCCATAACTATTCAAGCCAATATGAAGAAAATCATCGCGTAACAATTATAATTTTGATACAAATAGTTTTAGTTATAAGTGATCGAAATTCTCTTTCCGTTATCCATAGTCATTACTGATAACGAAAATTTTTTTGAATTAGTAATAGTTGTTATCGTTGAAAAAAACATTATCATTAATTTTATTAATGAGAAAAACTATTTTGTTTAGTGATAACAGTTACAGATGACGGAAATCCTATTTCAATCGCTCATAATATTTTTGGCCAACTGTAATAGATATTT